GGGGGGAAGAGGCCAGCGTTCACCCTGGCGCTGCTCCGTGGGGAAGAGGAGCTACTGGGCTGGCAAACGGGTGGGCTCAGAGAGGGACCGTGGTTGGGAGAGTGAGGGGGAACTGTGTGGATGCCCCGGCTGAGGCTCAGCTTGAGCTCAGGCAGGCCAGCGCCCGGCCGTCCTTTCTAACCAGCTAAATTTAACCTTCGCAGGCCGCTGCCCCTTGCAGCCTCCAGGCTTCCTTTTGGAGATCCTGTGTCCTCAGCGCACCGCTTGTGGTAACGGTCACCGAGCTGCCAATGCCACAAAATTACAGTTTTTCAGGAAAACAGTTCTTGCACAAGAGCCCCAAATAAGCACCTTGCACGAGACAGCGATCTATTTAAGTCGTGCTGCAGAAGGGTTCGTGTTCAAGGCAGCCTTGCGGAAGCGCTGGGCTGTGTCCACCCCAGCACAGAGAGGGGCCGAGTGCCCCGCGCTGGGGGAGCGAACCCAGAGCCCTGCTCTGGAGCGGCTGGTGCAGTAGGAATGGCAGATCTTTCCGAGGAGCTGCTCAGAACGGGATATGAAATTAGGCAGCGATAAGAGGGGCATCTGCCAGGCTCAGGGAAGGGTCCTGAGCTGGGCCCACCAGACGCTGGAAAAAATACTGCAACAGAAACCAACCGACAATTCCCTCGCCTGGCTCTGCCTGCGCTGAGCTGTTTTCCAGCACGGGGTTGGGGAAGGCCAGTCTGGGAAGGGGCACTGGGTCCCTCCTGGGGAGCAGCACACCCCACCAGAGAGATGGAGAGGGCACAGGGAGAGCTGGCTCTGAGCGCCAGACCTTTCAGCGGAGAAAGGGATCTCCTTGGCTGTTCAGGAAGCAGAGCCCCTCTCCCAGCTCTGCTGGTGGCCATCCTGGGTGGCCCGGGAGTCCTCCCTCTCCTCCCACGTGGAGTGCCAGTCCCAGCAGAGAGCTCTTCACCAGGGCAGAGGCCTGCAAAGCCCTTCAAGGGAGGTCTGCAACAGGGAGACGCTTGTGCTGACAGGGTTAAATCCACAAGTTGGATTCAAGTAAATGAAGGAAAACAATTTTCCTGTATGCTAAGCGAAGCAGATGAGATGCACTCAGCTTCTATTTAGGGCAGCGTCAAAATTAGCAGCGGGCCAGAGAGGAACATTAGCAATGTGGGAGCTGATCGGGGAGGGGAAAAACCCCTCTCACCTCTTTCCACGTGCCAATCTGCTAATGAAACAGCGGCTCAGACGGACCCTCTGAACCATCAACAGTTGCATCTTGGAAATCAAGCTCGCTTGGGCTTGAACCGAGGGTGAACTACATCTATCACAGCTCTGCTCTGCTGGTTTGCGTGACCCAAATTTCAGGCTAGAGGAGGAAGCCGGCTCATTCACACCAAGCCTCCCTCCAGCTTCCCTGCAACCGCGCAGAGTAAATCAGAGCAGCCGCGGGTCCACGGGCCAAGTTTTGCCTTGCAGGGAGCAGGGCGCTGGTCAGAGCCCCCAGCTCAGGGCTTCCCCCCGCACAGACCAGATTTCCCCCCCCTCCCCTGGAGCAAATCCTGCCAGGGACCCCGCAACTTTGCGTGTCAGGATCTCTGCTCGAAACACGCCTGGGAGAGGAAAGGATGCTCTGAATCGGTAGGAAGAGCAGCCGGTGCCTGCGAAGTGTGGGACGGGGCTGGCTGCGTGCCTGGCTACCTCCTGGTACGGTGGCACCCGGCGGCCAGTGCCCGTGGGCCAGCGTTAGGGCTCGCACGTGCTGCACCAGCCCGGGACGTGGGGTGCCGCAGGGCCCGTCGCAGCACCCGCTGACGCCAGGCTCCCTCCGGCGCTGCCCCAGCCGAACCGCGCCCCAGGCCCCCACCTCTCTAATTAAAATGCCCAAATATGACAAGGCACGGAGTGCTTGGCTCCCTCCGCTCGCAGTCTGCTCCTAGCCCCGAGGAAGGATCTGTCAGGGCAGATGGATGCGCAATCACACCCTGGGGCGCACCATCTGCTACCGAGCTGTGCTTGCCCAGGGTTTGGCACACCCAGGATGGCCAGGAGTGTTCCCGAGAGCCAGGGCATCCCCTAACGGGGCTGAGTAACGGTCCTGCGATAGCGCAGACGCACCACAACTAGTCACCACGGGCCCAAGACCTGGATCCCTAAATGGTTCCTGGGCAGCAGCTTTGGTTTCCAGCCCCGAGACCACTTCTCACTCCACGGCTGGTGTCCCTGCCTGGCCTCATCCCCCATTCTCTGCTTCTAACACCTCAACTGCCCAAATTCTGCCAGATGGTATTTTCCTCTGGTCAGCCAGCCTCCATCGTGGGTAAAGAGGCATTTGCACCAGGCAGAGGGACGCAGGGCTTTTGCTGGCACCCGCAGCCTGGGGGCTGTTGGCACTGCCAAGATCACCCCTGGGCAGCTTTGGCTGCAAACACTCGCCCTCAGCACACAGAGACACACACACACCTCTCCCCACGCAGGAACAAGGACAAGCATGGAGCCTCTGCTCCAGCTCCCTGACCTTGGGCAGGGGAGGGACAGCCACCATCCCAGGGGGTCAGAGCTTTGTTCCCATTTTCTGTAAGCGTTATTTGTGCCTGGACACTGCCGGCTCATGGGAGAGCTGAGCAGCCTGGCTAAGGACAGCCCGGGAGCAGGACTGACTCACCTGAATCGAGCCTCCCTCACTGGAAGGCACCCAGGCTTTTGCCTACATTCATTTGCTGGCGGCTGAGCAGGCTGTTCAACCTGCCAGGTTGGATCCAGGGTGTGTAAAAACACAGCTGAGATGTTGGAAAGGCAGCGAAGAGCAGCTGTGGGGAGTGACGAGGA